AATGATGCAATCATAAGTAGGCCTTTCCAGACATTATTCATCCACTGGATTGTAGTAAATATTATTATTGTCGTGATAAAATAAGCGTTGATAGCTGTTCAGGTTCACCCCCCCTCCCTCGAAAAAGAAAAGTTATCAGCTCGCGCTGGCAAAGTCGACACGATGTTTTTATTTTATACGATAGTTTAATCTCATAAAATAACAATCTTTATCTCTGCTATATCTAAGCAGATAAGAAATCCTAATGTATCGACCCCCCCCCCCTTAACTCAGGGACTGCAACTGCACAAACCGAGATAGCGTCAGGAGTTGATCCAAAACATAACCGCTTCATGTTAAATTTACTTATTGCTGCACACATATCACTAGATGGGCTCATGACGTCATAGTTTCTGTAATTAAAAATTATCAACGTGCCATGATATCCTAGTTCTCAAAAGCTGATGGAAGTAGAGATAAGTAGACTCAGGATATTATTTATACCAAAGTTGTAATTGACTAGAACCACTTTTTCACAATAAAATAAATACAAATCAGTAAGTTAGATTATTATTAAATTAATATCACAGAATTATGATTAAATTATAATTTAAATTAAAAATAAATCATAATTAAAAATACTTGTTCAATAAAAAACGTCAGGGTATCTCCTCCTTTATAAGCGAAAAATTATGCCTCACATAAAATCCAACACAGAGTATTAGAATATATTATTTCTCCTTGTTGCTCCTATATTAATTATTAGACATAACAGTGACAGCAATTGACCCTGAGAATCAAAAAGTGTAATCAATATAATAATAATAATTTTTTTTTAGTCTAAAATCCACTGTAACATGTTCAGAAGATTTTACATATACATAAAACAATTACTTAAGATATCAATTATTGGGAATAGAAAAATAAAATTACAGAGCTTAACGAAAAAAAAATTAAGAGCATTCTAGATACAACACTGATTCTCACATAAAATCACTTACAGTACATAACTAAAATATGTTTGTTAAGAAAAAATAATCAATTCTAGGAAAAAAACAGCCTTATTTGCACTCAGAAAAAATAATCGGTAGAACAGCCTTATTTCTTACTGTGCAAAAATGCAATTACTATAACATTTGTAAAATCAATTTCAAAGTTGATTAGTCAAAAAATGTCCTGAATAGGTATGTCTTCAATTCTTTTTTAAAATGCTTGAGGTAGACTCAATGGATCAGATTTCCAGTAGTAATATATTCCATTTCTTTGAGCCTGCTGATTAAAAGCAATGTCACCATAAGTTTTTAGGCGCATTTTTACTGGCTTAAGTAACAATTTGTCTACAGACCGCAGGTTTTTTGCTGGAAACTAAGTAGATCGGTGCACCTTTGTAAAAAGCATCATGAACAAAGACTAGAAATCTAAATAAGATCCTGTAACTTTTTTAAAACTGGGGTGATATGGTTACTCATGGTTGTACGGGTTACCTTGCAGAGGTAACTTTGTAAAAAGCACAAATGTCAGGAAAATAATACACAGATGGACCAGGTGCGGCCTTATGTAGATCGCAACGGGGTTCTTTCTAAAAAAAAACTGGGCCTTTCACAATGATCAAATTTAGCCCAGAAAGACCTTTTCCTAGGAAAAAGGGTGGTTCTTTGGAAACCCCCCGCCTACCCTCCTCCTAGGCTGGGGGCCTGTTTATGATGGCCATCGTCAAAATTCAAAGCAGAACTCAGGATGATTTTGTGCATAGGTAAAAGGATAAAACCTGATATTTCTATCAAGATTTGCAATCCTGTCCATATCTCTATCACTCAGATTAAAGTCAAATATTGAAAAGTTCTCAACGATTCTTTGTGGTGTTACGCTTTTTGGGATTACAATTATCCCCCTCTGGACGAGGTTACGCAGCAGTATCTGTGCTGGAGACTTTTTGTAAGATGCGGCTATATCTAAAATAACAGGATCTTCCAACAGTATTGGGCCACCGTATAACCGTGCACCGCCCATAACTAGTAAATGCTATTCCGTTTTGCTTGCAGTATTGGCTCAGCGTCCTCTGTTGATAGTAAGCATGACATTCGCTTTGTAAATTTGCAGGCTTTGTTTTTGCCTTGGACAGAATTCGATCAATCTGCTGTGTACTAAAATTTGAAACACCGATGGCTTTTGCAAGACCCGAGTCGAAAACTTCTTCCATTTCTGCCCACGTCTCCAAAAAATCGTGGTGGTGCATTGCACAGTCGCGTACCTGTCCCTATTTCACGAATTCTTCTCCCCAAGGTTTATGAATTAAAAACATGTCTACGAATTTGGTTTTTAATTTAGCTAAGGACTCCTCTATACACAGTTTGACGTGTTCTCTCTCCATGTAAGGTGGCGGCAATTTGGTCGTGATGAAAACATCCTCTCGTTTAAGCTGACCCGCTTTGATCACAGAGTGAAGAACGTCACCAATGGCGTCTTCGTTTTCGTAACTAACAGCAGTATCGATGTGGCGGTACCCTGCACCCAAGGCAAACGCTACAGCGTTCTCGACTTGTGTTTTACTAGCTTTGTACGTCCCTAGACCTATAATCGGCATGCGAGCGCCTGTGTTAAGAAGCACAAATCGCGACACACTCCCCTCTTTCATTCAAGACACAAAGTGGTACTAGGATGGAAATAGACAACAACGACAAAGAAAATCTCTCACTGGTTATATATCTTCTCAATATATTAAATACTCAAAAAGCATCTGTTAATTGTTCTTACTATCAATGTCTTAAAAGAGAGTGAATAGCAGGACAGGGGTAGAAATGTGGTTAAAATGTCGTAATTTCTGGTAAGTATCCCTTTACGACAGCAGCGGGAAATTAGCAAAATTAACCTCGTAATATTCGACTGTGCTAGAGACATCAAACTTCGTCCTTCGGCTTTAGCTCATATTCCACCAACTTGACATGTCCATAGTTTATTGCCCACAATACAGAGACAAAACATGGATCGCTATGTATTAGTTTTGTATACCGATATCATCAGTGGTGAGTACATACATCGTAACATATGTAGCTTAGGGGAAAAAAATTGTCATTATGACTATATATATGCATGCACCAGTATAAATCTGACAGGATATGGACATGCTGCTGAAAAGGCAGACTAAGGGAGGGAGGGTTGGGGGTGGGGGGCATACTGCATAAGAACTTAAAGAGTTGATCACTCTAATCTAACTTACCAATTTATACTAGTGTTTAAATCATTAGAAACTGAACAAAGTTTATATTTATTTATTTATTTATTTATTTATCATTCCATGTATATTTTGTATCATATAGATGTTATAAAACTAAAAGTAGAGTAAAGAGCCTGTAAAGTGTTACCTGTACACATTTTAGTGCTTAATAAAGATTATAAATCTATTACTTTATTTTTTATGATTGGTGATTTATTTATTTATTTATTTATTTATTTATTTATTTATTTCAGAAGACAGTACACTGCTACCTGCTATGCTGCAGAAGCTTACAGACGATGCCAGCAGATATAAAGAAATTACCGTCACCAAATATTTTGGAGAGGCTTCCCAGCAAGTGTACACTGCCTTTGCCCACCTCTCTGGTCAAGATGGACGCCCTGGAACTGACCACAAGGTTGCAAGTTAATACCTTATTAATACACATTTTTTATTGTTGGACAGTATCATTCAATATGTGTTTTTGATAAACAAATTAAGTTAAAGTTGTCAGTAGCTGTACAAAAATTAACTGAGGATTACCAGCCAATATTAATTTCATTTATTTTTTTGCTAAATAGCTTTGACAGATAAAACTTTATATTTTTTTATTGCATTGAAAGTCAACTTTATCCCAGTTGTTCATGTATTTATTTGTAAAGAACAGATTTTCAGATTTTAATGATGAATTTCATAATCTATTGAGGCATAGGTGTAAGGATTTATACCAAAATTAAAGGATGACTCACTAGGGTTGTGATAGACATTGTAACGTCCATTTATTCATATTGTATGAATACAAGATAATTTATTCCAAAAGACAAAGTTTCTACAAATTTTCCAAAATTATCTATGAATGCTATACAAAGTTACTCCCTTCTAGAATCTGTTTTGCTTTTTATTATAGCAACAACAGACAAAGTCCAACTCTGAGAATGTCAAATGGGAGGCTTTTACGAACACTGACACATTCTGTGAGACACTTCAAGAAATATTACACAGAAAACAGACAAATTGCCCAGCTGCACAGAGTGAAAACACTGATTTTATGTATGTTATATAATAATAGTCATGTTACAAGTGACCATTTTCAAAAATCAAACTTCTTATTCAATTTTGCATTTTTTTTTTGTCATATAGAATACTCGAAATGGAACAGAATTATTTTTCTCCCAAATTGTAAGTGTACGAAAATGCTCAACTTATTTTTAACTCATTAGGAGAGATGGTTATTAATTATAAATATAAAATATGAAAGAAACATGATGATTGGACAACTGACTGTTCAGCAGAAACAATTTAAATTATTATTATTATTATTATTATTATTATTATTATTATTATTATTATTATTTTATTTTTTTTTTAGTGCAGAACAACTTCACCTAATGGCAGATGCTCTACCATACACAGGTACTAGTATATATTATCATAACACAAACACCTACATCTACAGTACCCTCTACCAGGGCCACAGATTGATTTTTCACTAGATATTAACAGATAAATTGTCTCTGGTTAAATAGATGACTAATCTCTGTACTATGACCCTGTGCTGAAATCTCGAGGATGATTACGTGGTTGGTAATTGTTTGCATAACTACTGAGGTGCTGCCACTTAACAAGTCCCTGCCAAGTCCCCTTGACAGTAATCAAGACAGTTCATTGCTCATCTGGGACAATAAAGACAAGGCAGGTTGCATAAGAAGCGTTGATTACATTGGTGCGAAGTCCAGCTCTCACTGAGCTCCTGCAGAGCAGGTACAAAGCCTTCTGTGCACGTGCAGATTTAACTGCTCCTATCTGGCCAAACGTTACAGGGTTGCCTCAGCAAAAATGTCCACAAGAACTGCAGCCCTAGTAGAGGGTACATATACAGGTAGTTGTATATATTCTTCTCGTAACACAAACACATATACATATACATACACATGATTGCTGAAGTAAACATCCATGTACAAATGTACGTGTACATACTGTGATAAGTGTGATTCTTGATTTGGTTTTGAAATGAGATATTTATTTATTTGATCTATTTTTTGTAGGTTTCTTGCTGGACATCATTTGGTTTGGGAATGTGAATTTCAGTATTGAGTGAGTAAATATACATCAGGGTAATTTTGTAAAAGACATATACCCGTATATCAACTTTTCTCCCCAGATCTCAGATACTTGATAAATTTGAGCTGAGAGTTAATAAATTTCATACAGAAGTAACTTAGATTTGTGAAAAACAAATTAAATTGTTGGTGCTAGGCCTGAAAGCCATAGAAATGAATATGAAACTTTCCACTAGTTGTCTGAAGCAAGTTTTATTTATAAAGTTATACTCTCTATTTAAAAGGTTTCCGAAATTTTTCATTATTTTTATAAAAAGTTGCTGACACTATTTTTCCACTCTAGATCCAACCTAGGGCTGTATGGTGCTTTACAAAGACTAGTTACCTGTCACAATGGGTTTGTAACACTGTTGTATGAAAATACCCTGTCTGCAGAAGGCTGGGCCTGGGTAGAGGCGTTACAGGGCACTTCTTGCTCAATAGGTGGCAGCACTCGCTTGCTCGTGGATACGCTATGGAGGGGAAGTGTGACATTTCACAATACCAAGGTGAGATGATAAAATATGTGTTATGAAAGTGTTTATTTCCAAAAGGTAAACATTCGGGTGTTTTGTGTCACTACATTTTTGGTATAAAATAGCATCTCAATCCTGTGTCACAAGTTTTTCACTTGGCATATCTTTTTAGAAGCTTTGTACTGGCACTTATAAAAGTAATGGTCTCCCTGCCTCCACATGCGTGGTCTTAGCAGGGGCCTTGCAATTAAACCTCGGAGCTGAGCTTTAATCGTCTTAATGGTGCTTGCAGAGGCAGGGAGACCATTATGGGTTTAACAGACTTGCTTTCATGTAGGTTCTGCCATATTAAAATCGTAGATCAGTAAATCCGAGGATCATCCATTCTTAATGGGCTCTGTGATTGATTTGGCAGCTGATTGTTACTGTAGTGCTTGTTATTCTTTTCTTAGACTGGAGACACTCTTAGCGTACCAAACCTGTCACTGAGTCCCAGTACAGGCTCAGTGTTGACTGGTCAGTACAGTATAGTACAGAGTGACCAGAAAGTAAGTGACCTGACTAGACAGCATTATGGGACAGTGAGCAGGAGAAAGAAGAGACAGCCTCCAGTTGTAAGTAATTTATTTATTTGTTTATTTATTTATTTATTTATTTATTTTTGGATGAGTTTTAGATGATCCTGTAGTGGTGAAAAATGTGGTGCACAGAGAGATCAATATCCAATATAGTCTGACAAAAAGAAAAAAAAAAGAGATGAATGATTTTACCTTATCTTAAAAATTATTAACAAATTTGGTTGGAATAGAAACAGCAAGAATTGAGGTAAAAGGAATTATGGAGGTAAAATGATATGTTTAACAGTTATAAACCATTATCTGCTCTTTTTGTAGAAAGTGCTGGACTATAGTTTTGTGTAAAAAGCTACTTTCCTCAGTTTCAACAGTGCACCAATGAGGATAAATTTTCATTTATTATAATAACTAAGATGAAGTATTCTTTCTATTTCAGCTGGCCATGTCTCCGCATCTGGTTTTCCTGGATGAAGTATACCTAGGTGACGTTCCCACATATGTCTTGTCTAACAGCAAGTTAAAACTGTATCTTTTCATATGATCCAGAGAATTAGATCTAGGGTTGTTTTTTTACTGTATGTCATATGCATACAGCTTTCTTGCTTTGTTGGTGATGGTTTTAAAATATTTTGCCACTCTATTTGTACCACCATGGCACGCGGGGCTGGGGGTACAGATGGTTTTAGTCCCGACCGGTATCGTCTGACGGCTCCGCTGCAATGTCACTGTTACCGCCTGTCCTCCCAAACTACAAAAGCCCCTGTATCCATCTCTTGTGTGTTGCAAGGTTTCCATCTCTTTTATCTCCAAAACTTGCAGAGATACGCCCATAGTTACTACTGAACTTGGATAGGAAGACATACTGACAGTTCAACTGTGACCTTGAAATTGACCTTTAACCTACTTTTTGCCATGAACAACTTCACAAATTTGGATTTAAACTTTAACTTTTCCCCATGATTTTGTTTTAAATGGTAACTTTCAACAAAAATATTGAGAAATCTTGTTTACTGCATTTTGTTAAGCTTGTCAAGCACAAAAGGCCATAAATGAGTACTGTTCAATATGAGATTTTGATTTTTTTTCTTATTTTATTGCATGATAACTCAAGTCATTGTATTAAGTAAATATTTATATATAATAACTACAGCATAACATCATTTGTTAAGTCCAAACCACAATTAATTAAATTATTGCTCTGAGTCAGTTGAAAAATATATCCTTTCGGCATCAGGTATTTACAGCAGCAAAAAATTGCTGGTAGTTTGAAATAATATATGGTTGCAGTTATAGGTGCCACCTTCATATTTTCAGTACAATTACTACACTATCATTTCAGTCTTAAAGCTTATGCAACCTCCCTAAAATCAATACCCCCTAAAAAGAAGAAAATAGAGACATAGCTAAAAAAAAAGAGAGATGTGATTATAATTTACAAGGAATAATAGTTAAACTACAAACCATTTGATTTTCAGATCTTATCTTATTTTAAGAATAATTGACACCTATTTAAAGAAGCAGATGTCATTTAGGTAATACACATTAAGTATAATATTTATGATACAAAACAAAATATCAGTTCTTCCTGGTATTACAGGCAGTTCTCTGATTATTTCCATATCTCATTTAATAGCCTTAAAATGAACATCTATAAACACGGGCTACTTCACACAGGGGTCGATTTTGGCCATCTTCTGGGTTTTTCTGATGAGATTCAGATTTTTCAAGTTTACATTGACAGGTATCTATTTTTTACTGTCTGAAGACGGAAAAAAATGGAGGATGGATCAACAAATATAATATGGAACACTGTCAGAAAATATCTGTGGATCTGCCTCTGTCACATATCACAAACTTTGCTTCTGTCTTTTATTTCATTGTCACTTCCGAGTATTTCATCATTTTAAGATGAAAAAGGTTATTTGTTTTTTAGGATGGTCATTTTATTTTTTCTTTATTCATTTTGAGATGTTGTAATTATACTTAGTTTCTCATGATATATATATATATATATATATAAACTGAATATTTAATTGCAACCAAGTCAATGTCAGTATTGGATTGATATGTCAGTAAGTGCTATTTTCTTTGAAAATATTTCTTTTAGAATGACAGAAAACAGAAAATTGTTCAGTTTCTGAGCATTTCAAATGGTGTCATTTTTCAAGGTATTGGAATACTTTCACTTTCCCATTTCCTTGAGTCACAACCAGATATCCATCCTGGTTGATGGTACATCCCCATGGGTTTTTTAGTCCATCGGCTTTAGTTGCTATGTACTGGATGAACTTCCCATCTGGGGATACAAGGTGTATGCAGTGGTTAGTATAGTCTGTAACCAGTATGTTGTCATAGGCATCAACACAGACACCACGAATGTCAACTAACTTGTTATCAGGTCCTGTGTACTGATACAGTGGGTCACCAGATGGGGTTAGGATGTGAAGTTTGTTTAGTGATGTATCACTAACAACAAGGCACCCATTGCTCATATATGACACTTTATATGGTTTATCGAACAACTGGTCCCCATCTTTGTCTTTCATCACTTTTGTTAAAGTTATTTTCCCTTTGATGTCAATACTGAACACACTCACAGACTTTTCTATAAACTGTGCCACAGCAATCTTAGTACAACTGTTATTGAGAGCCACACCATGTGGGCTGCTGACATCTACAGTTTGCTGTACTTCCCACTGTGGTGACAGGATGAACAGTTTGTTACTGCCTGCATCAGATACAATCATCCTTCCATCAGGAAAGTGACAGATCCCTACTGGCCATTTCAACTGTGTGTGTGAGATACTTGTGAACTCTTGCCTTGATGTACCATCTGAACTAAAAACCTTGACCTTGTTATTCCAGCCATGTGTAGTAACATACTCTCTGTTTGGACTCACTGAAATGTCCTCTGCAATTTTAGGGCCAGTGTCAAACTTCAGCATACATACAGCCTGTGGTTTGAATTTGGGCAAAGCTGGTAGTCTAGATATCTGCACATTCCCCAGGCCAGCCCCACTGGATATCTCTTGGTCCACTTCAGTGTTGGTGGTTAGTGTGAGGTGTATTTTTTCAGGAATTTCTTCCATGGCTGTAGTGGACTGTAGCTCATCTAGTCTCTGTCCAAGTTGGTGTTGTAACATGAGGACATCTATGGGGGCACCATGCTGAAGTATGTTCTTTACTACATCTGTTGTGGTTTTGATAGAGGAGCAAGTGGCACTGCAGTTGTCATATGAAGTTTGTATATTTTTTCTGTGAGTGCTACTGGTTTTGTGAAGCTCCCGTAGTAAGGTCTGCTCTTGTTGATCTAGCAGTTGACGTAAATAGGCTGCATGAGCTTTTATCTGCTGCTGAACAGAGCTTTCATTTTCTAGGAAGGTTGCCAGTGTGTTATCAATGTTAAGTAATGTTTTTTCTCCTGTTGCTAATTTTCTTTCAAGATAATGACATTTGTTTTCAAGTTTTGGCTTAACCATCTCTGCAGCTTTTTCAAGGGAGATAAGTTTGTGACCATCATGGTGTAGATCTCTGCAGTCACGACAAATGGGGACACTGCAGTCTGAACAAAAGTATCGTATTGTCTCACCTTTGTGCTCTGGGCAGATAATCTTCTGCTGCTCTTGGATTTCTTTTTGATACTCACTGCTGTGAAGTTGTTGAAAAGTGAGTATCCTGTGATCTTTAGTGAGTCTACTACCACAGTGGAATGGAGAACATCTGTCACATAAGTAGTCATGGCAGGTGATACATTTTGAAGTAGCCACCGTTTCAGTTTGGGACACCAAAGCACAAGAGCTGCACTTTTTCTTATGTGTTGACTGAAGTACAGTGTCCTGCAAGCTTTCAATGAAGAAATTGTGAGTGAAGCCCTCAAGTCCATCTTTAGGAACTTCAGTTTCTTTCCGACACACAGGACATCGTAATTTACTTCCTGGTGTTAAATCAGAAATATAAGTCTTCAGACAACCTTTACAAAATGTATGCCTACATGGTAAATCAGTTGGGTCCTTATACTCCTCAAGGCACAAAGAACAGCTCAGAAAGTCGTTAGCTATCTCAGTTCTTAAACTTTCTGCTTGTGGACTTTCAGTTACACCCTTGGAGTCTGCAGTTGCCATTTTCTTTTTTTGATTCTGTCTGTAGGGCGTTGTTCAGTATTAGTGACAAAGTTGTTTTTATGCACAGACGTCTCTGCATTCACCTGAATTGACCTAGTTCTTTTCTATAAAACACCTGTATAGGGATTTGGGTCAGCCTTTTTTCTGATCTTTACTGTATTCACATTATTGATTTAATATTAAAATTGCTACTGGGCATAATGGGAATTTGTATTTATTATGAAAATATTTTGTCTACTTTTCTGTATTGTTAGTGAAACAGCTATATGGATATATATATGAAATGCTAGTAAAGCTAGAAATATTATTGTTTATAGTATTATGTAGGGAGACAGTCAGGAGGTGGGTGTGTAGTAAGAGAAGTCAGCTGTGTTCAGTGATATATTGTGTAAATCTACAGATAGTGTGAAGCAGGGGTGGATTTAGGGCGTCTTCTGGGTCAGATTTTCAAGTTTACATTGACGGGTATCTAATTTTTTCTGTAGGAAGACGGTCAAAAATGGAGGATGGATCAACAAAGATAATTTGGAAGACTGTCAGAAAATAACTCTTGATCCGCCCCTGTGGAGGTATATGGTATATTTGTCTTATGTAGGGAGACAGTCAGGGGGTGGGTGTGTAGTAAGAGAAATCAGCTGTGTTCAGTGATACATTGTGTTAGTACTGGTAAATCTACAGATAGTGTGGAGGTATATTGTCATATTAGAGGATTTGAAAGTGTACAACATGTCAGCTAAGTTTCATAAATAGAAATCAGAATGAAAGAGAATAAAAGAAATGTAGGAGAAGAAATAATGCAGCAACTACAGTTATTATCCGCTCAGACATTCTTTTCAATTTTATTTGAACATTCGTAATTGTACACACAAAACACAGAGAGAGATTTGCACTCTTATTATACTTCTCACATGGAAAAAGTATTTCTTTTATTATTTTGAATCTGTAGAAGTCCATAAATGATTAAGAAACTAGTACTTTTCAATATGAAATTTTGATTTTTTTCTTATTTTATTGCATGATAACTCAAAACATTGTATCAATTCAAGATTTATTTACTCATAACTACAGCATAACATCATTTGTTGAGTCCAAACCAAACTAAATTATTGCTCAGTCAAAAAATTTGATATCATTTCAGCATCAGGTATTTACAGCAGCAAAAATATTAGTTTGAAATCAGATATGGTTGCAGTTAAATGTGTCACCTTCATATTTTAAATACAAATACTACACTATCATTTCAGTCTTAAAGCTTATGCAACCTCTCTAAAGCCAATACCCCCTAAAAAAAAAGAAAAAAGAAACAGCTAAATGAAAAGAGAAATGTGATTACTAGTATAAATTACAAGGAATAATAGTTCAACTACAAACTATTTGATTTTCAGACCTTATCTTATTTTGAGAATAATTGGCATCTTTTCTTTGAAGAAGCGGGTACGTGTCATTTAGGCAATACACATTAAGTATATTATTTATGATACAAAACAAAATATCAGTTCTTCCTGGTATTACAGGCAGCTCTCTTATTATTTCCATAACTTATTTAATAGCCTTAAAATGAACATCTATAAACATGGGCTACTTCACACAGGGGTGAATTTAGGCCGTCTTTTGGTCAGATTTTCAAGTTTACATTGAGGTTTATCTATTTCTTCCTATTGGAAGCCAGTCAAAAAATGCAGGATGGATGAACAAATATAATATGTAAGACTGTCAGAAAATATCTCTGGATCTGCCTCTGTCACATAACACAAATCGTTCCTTTCGCTTCTGTCTTTTCTTTCATTTTCACTTCCGAGTATTTCATCATTTTAAGATGAAAAAAGAAAATTGTCTTACAGAGTGGTCATTTTATTTTTCTTCTCTATTCTTTATAAGATGTTTTTATTATATTTTGTCATACATGATATGAAAACTAAATATTTAATTGCAAACAATCTGTCAGTGTTGGGTTTATATGTCAATATTTAACACGTTCTTTGAAATATTAGAATGACAGTAAACTGAAAATTGTCAGTTTCTGAGCATTTTAAATGTCATTTTTCAATGTATTGGAATACTTTCACTTTCCCATCATGTTCAGTCACAACCAGATCTCCATCCTGGTTAATGGTACATCCCCATGGGTTTTTTAGTCCATTGGCTTTAGTTGCTATGTACCGGATGAACTTCCCATCTGGGGATACAAGGTGTATGCATTGGTTATCAACATCTGTAACCAGTATGTTGTCATAGGCATCAACACAGACACCATAAGGTAGACCTAACTTGTTATCAGGTCCTGTGTACTGATACAGTGGGTCACCAGATGGGGTTAGGATGTGAAGTTTGTTTGGTGACATATCACTAACAACAAGGCACCCATTGCTCATATATGCCACATTATATGGTGAATTGAACAACTGGTTCCCATCTTTGTCCTTTATCACATCAGTTAAAGTTATTTTCCCTTTGATATCAATACTGAACACACTCACAGACTTTTCTTCACCCTGTCCCACAGCAATCTTAGTGCAGCTGTTATTGAGAGCCACACCCCATGGGTTGCTAACATCTACAGTTTGCTGTACCTCCCAATGTGGTGACAGGATGAACAGTTTGTAAATTTCTGCATCAGATAGAACCATCCTTCCATCAGGGAAGTGACAGATCCCTAATGGCCATTCCAACTGTGTGTCTGAGATACTTGTGGTCTCTTGCCTTAATGTTCCATCTGAACTAAAAACCTTGACCATGTTATTGATGTCATGTGTAGTAACATACTCCCTGTTTGGACTCACTGAAATGTCCAGTGGACTCTCATGGCCAGTGTCAAACTCCAGCATACATACAGCCTGTGGTTTGAACTTGGGCAAAGCTGGTTGTCTAGATATCTGCACATTCCCCAGGCCAGCCCCACTGGATATCCTTTGGTCCACTTCAGTGTTGGTGGTTAGTGTGAGGTGTATTTTTTCAGGAATTTCTTCCATGGCTGTAGTGGACTGTAGCTCATCTAGTCTCTGTCCAAGTTGGTGTTGTAACATGAGGACATCTATGGGGGCACCATGCTGAAGTATGTTCTTTACTACATCTGTTGTGGTTTTGATAGAGGAGCAAGTGGCACTGCAGTTGTCATATGAAGTTTGTAAATTTTTTCTGTGAGTGCTACTGGTTTTGTGAAGCTCCTGTAGTAAGGTCTGCTCTTGTTGATCTAGCAGTTGACGTAAATGGGCTGCATGAGCTTTTATCTGCTGCTGAACAGAGCTTTCATTTTCTAGGAAAATTGCCAGTGTGTTATCAATGTTAACTAATGTTTTTTCTCCTGTTGCTAATTTTCTTTCAAGGTTATGACATTTGTTTTCAAGTTTTGGCTTAACCGTCTCTGCAGCTTTTTCAAGGGAGATAAGTTTGTGACCATCATGGTGTAGATCTTTGCAGTCACGACAAATGGGGACACTGCAGTCTGAACAAAAGTATCGTATCATCTCACCTTTGTGCTCTGGGCAGATAATCTTTTGCTGCTCTTTGATTTCTTTTTGATACTCACTGCTGTGAAGTTGTTGAAAAGTGAGTACCCTGTGATCTTTAGTGAGTGTGCTACCACAGTGGAATGGAGAACATCTCTCACATAGGTAGTCATGGCAGGTGATACATTTTGAAGTAGCCACCGTTTCAGTTTGGGACACCAAAGCACAAGAGCGGCACTTTTTCTTATGTGTTGACTGAAGTACAGTGTCCTGCAAGCTTTCAATGAAGAAATTGTGAGTGAAGCCCTCAAGTCCATCTTTAGTAACTTCAGTTTCTTTCTGACACACGGGACATCTGAATTTACTTCCTGGTGTTATGTCAGGAATATAGTCCTTCAGACAACCCTTACAAAATGTATGCCTACATGGTAAATCTGTCGGGTCCTTATACTCCTCAAGGCATAATGGACAGCTGACAAAATATTCAGTTATTTTGGCCCGTAGGCTTTCTTCTTCATCTCTGTCATCACGAGCTGTAGCCATCTTGGGGGCGTGTAGCAAACTGTTTTATGTAGAGCAGTTATCTCTTTTCAGCAGTAAACTAGTTGGAGAGAATGGCCTATGAATGTGTGTTCAGCAGAGTTATAACAGTTATCTTATCAGTGACCCAGTTGCCCCTCGTCTAAGGCCACAGCAGTTTATTTTTGCATTTCACTATGTATTAGGAGTCAAGAATGTGTTTATCTTTATTTCACCAGTAAAGATTTTAGTCACTGGAGTAGGTAGTCAGTTCAGGTTCAGGCTGGTAGCCATTGGGGTTTGGGGGGTTAGAACCTGCCTCTTAATGTATTTATTGAAAACTTTGCCTTTGATAACCTTAACATGCTCCATCAGAAGTTTAATGTCCAAAATTTCTGATGCCAACTCTTCTTCTCAGGCATTTCTAGAGAGAATCAATAAAAGAAAAGAGGTGAGCATCCATTATACTTTGACTTGTATATATCCAACGTTAACATGAAGTAAATGCCTACTCAGCTTATCATGCATACATACCCAGTAAAGTAAGATGAACATTTCTTTTCTACATGTGCCACGTTTTTTAAGAAAAAAATCATGGCGTGCCAGTTAGTTTCTTTTTTACTTTTTATTTCAAAGCTTTGCCTATTACTTTCATTTCAGTTTGGTACAATAGTACGTCTGACCTTTGGCCACAGCACTGACCCCCCCATTGATGACCTCAGAGTGGACACCCAGACCTGGATGAACAGAGTCATCAACAACGTGACAGGTAAGATGACAGGTAACATGATAAGGTGTCAGGTGACATGAGAATGGAGCAGGTAATATGTCAGGGTGACATAACAGTGTGACAGGGGCACGACAATGTAACATGACAGGTAACGTGACAGTGAGACAGGTAATGTGACAGTATGACAGATTATGTGACAGTGTGACAGGTAACATGACAGTATGACAGATTATGTGACAATGTCACAGGTGACATGACAGTGAGACAGGTAACATGACAGTATGACAGATTATGTGACAATGTCACAGGTGACGTGACAGTATGACAGATAATGTGACAGTGTGACGGGTACCGTAATGTCAATTAACACCTTTCCTTTCCCAAGTCTCTTTTAAATTAGTCAAATTACTTTATCTAGTTGGATTTGAATTCCTTTTAAATGATAGGTTTTTTCCCCAAGTTTTGTCTCACTTTTTTTAATTAATTAATTAATTAATTAATTAATTTGTTATTTTAGCAGAAGATAGCATAGTCAAACTGTCAGGCAGCACAGACTATCACAACTTCCTCCTGTTGTCTGCAGAGGACGGGTCATCCTGTAGCCACTCAGCAGACGACACTCTTAACATGGACCATTGCTTTGCTTACTTGATGAAAAAACCTGCAGACATCAATGGAGCAATTGTAGACGATTTAATTAAAATAGACAGGCAGATGAATCGCAAGCAGAATGAAGATAACAAAGCTAAGGAAAAAATATCAGATACTTTAGGGACTGAAATAAACTTTGCAAATGCATTAAGGAAAAGTGGAATTATTCAAGATGTCAGAAAAGTGGCTGGTAAAAGTTCCCAGACAGGAAGAGGAATTACCCACAATGTCAAGACACCAGATAATGAAAGTGAAAGCAAAACTGGGTCATACTGGTTGATTTCACCTGAAATTGAACAACATGTGAAAGAATTGTTATCGGGGCAGCCCAAGTATTCTCCGGATTCACTGGTCAAAATTGAAACCAAGATAGCGGATGCACAGGCTTCAGTGTTGAAACAGTGGATAGGTGAGGAATGGCAGACCCAGATTTGGGGGGAGGGGCAAGGATGAAAAATTATGCCATATTTGCTCAGCAATTCTGAAATAATATAATTGGAAACTGATATAAGGAGACCATGAACAAAGTGTCAAAAATATTGTGCCAGTAAAAAAAAAGTAAAAATGTAGACTCGTAGTGATTAGTATCGTATGTTCATGACAAAATGAAATTTAAAATACTTGGTGTAATTCATGACTTGAAATTTTGATAAATTGGAACACATATTTATAGTAACATGAACATTGATAAAAGGAACAATTGTTGTAGACACATATTATAAAAATATGTTATTGCAGTATATTTCCCAAGAATTTGGTCTTGATCGAATAACAAAATCTCTTCATTCTGTTCCAGAGTTCAGACAAGCAGAAGGACAGTCAACAAAAATGGCTTATTCCGAGCTGTTACAGCTGCTCTCTGAAGTGAGAAAACAGTGTCTCAGTATTATCAGCCAGCAGTGTGTCTTCCCCAGGACAAGTATTAAAGATGTGAAACTTCTTCCCAAAGACTCATTCTCAGGTAATTTTATTAATAACCACTCTATATGATTACTATAAGCTCATTGCAGGAAACTATTTTTACAATCAAATAACAAATTACCATGGCCCTGGAAGGAACTAAAGATTATAGTGAGATTAGATTTATTATAATGTTAGACCAACATTTGTATTATGATAACAGGTTTCTCTTTTGATTTTATTTAATTGAAGCCATTTGAAAGTGAATGAAGATTGTCTTCTCCTCTGCAAGTAACTTTTTTTGTCCAATTTGCAGACCCTTAGCAAAATCTCTTGCAAATTAGCTGCAAATTAGCAAGAACATGAATCCATTCATGCAAACTAACTGGAAAGGTAAGATGTTCT